AATGGTAGACTATGTTCTACAAAATAATATTCTCTTCTTCTTTTTATGCTACCACCTATCGATATTATTTGAATTCATCGAGTAAGCAGGCTTTGTAAAGAAAAATATATGATTTTATGTTCGAATTTGTAGTCCCTTTCAGTAATCATTTTCATTTAATGCGTTAAGGAGGATTTTAGAAATCAATTGTACATTTGTACTTTTTTTTTACTATTTTTTATTTTTTTTATGCAATTTTTTTACAATACCATTTTTATAAATAACGAAAGAGAAAAAAAATCTTGCATATATAGCAGCAAATAATTCCTATCGATAAGAATTTGAGAATTTGCTGATCAGAATGGACGTAAGCCTTTCGAGTGTTGCAAAATTAATTTTGGAAGTGGATACGACATCGTTAACAGAGTACTCGGCACCTGATTCACTACAATCTTTTACGAAAAAACCTGTCGCTTATCGTACTCATCTTGGACGACCAAGTAAAATAAAATATGATTATTTGAATTTAAGAATAGAGCCTAAACACGGTCAAGAAAATATAGTGCATGACCCGAGCTATGCACTACACAAACCATAGTATGCGTTATTTTGCCTATTTAACATAGATTTGCAAGCATTTTTATTGTATTATTTCATTCTATTTGCAGTAGTCTAACATGCGCTATAAGGAGACTGAGAAACTTTCGCAAATATAACCAACAACTTGAATATGAAATGAATCAGTTAGCACTTTATCAGTCTACAGCTATAGATGAAGCATTGTTTTTTCGTTTGATGAGTTATACATCATTGTGGCCACCACTTCATACGTATAAAGAAATCGATTATACGTCACGACATTTTTTCCCACGAAGTCGAAAGTATATGAGACGACTGAATGATCTCTTAAAAACAAATATTGTATGAAATTGTCACGATTAGAGAAGTGAAATGAAAGCGAACAACACGTTCTGAACGTGCAAGAACAAACATCGAGTTTTATTCTTTTGTTTTTTTTCGTCAGCAAAAGGCCTAGGTTTTCGTCCTTGGACGCTAGTATAAAATTACTAAAAAAAAAAACTGTCATCATAGACAGTCGATCTTTTTGACTCTTCAGAACATGTGGCGCACATT